GCAGACGGGTGCCTGGCACACTGGCCAAGGGCCTGCCCGGAGCCCACCCCGCCTCGGGGCTCCTGCCAGAACATGGCCCGGGCAGCCGGCCAGGCCCTTGCCAGGCCCACGGTGCCCAGGGGGAGGAAGGGCTCGGTGTTCCTCGCCTTCGTCTCAGTGGTGACTGCCAGGCGGTGGGCCAGCACCCACCACGCCACTGTCCAGACCCCGACGCCCTGGCCAGCACTCCTGCCGCTGGCAGCCACGGAGGTGAGTCCCTGCTGGGGAGCAGGCAGGCAGCGCGGCCCCTTGGGCTTCCTCCTCCTCCCTCCTCAGAACTGGTTGGAGGAGTTTGGTTGGAAGCCGCCAGGGCCAGGGGCCTTCTGTCTCCCATCCCGGTGTGAGCGTGAGCCGGGACTGGGCCTCCCTCTGCCTGGTGCCTGCTCATCACCTGTCTCAGTCCTCCTGTGGCGGCCCGGTCGGTCGGGGTTTGGGGGGCTGGGGGCTGTCACCGTGGCTCGGATCCTTCAGTGCTTCTTGGGTTACCCTGGGCTTTTGTCTCGTTTTATCGGCTGCTCTCCTAAGCGTCGAGAGTCAGGTGGCATTGTTGTTAGCAGCAGCAGCAGCAGCAGCCGTTTTTCTGATAGAGAAACGGGCTCAGGGAAGTGAAACCGAAGCGAGGGAGACAGAGCAGAAACTCGAATTTGAATCTGGGCCCCAAATCTGGAGTTTCCCAGCCCCTCAAGGCTGGCCGTGCCAGGCCCCGCCAGGCTGCGATGGTTTTGGGCGCCTGGGAAGGCTGGCAGCCCCGTGGGGGTAGCCGGGGCCCCTCCTGGGTGTGGACGGGCGCCCTTCAGCCAGAGCGTGGCACCTCGTGCCCAGTACGGCTGGGGATGGAAGTCACTGGCCCCCTGGCTTGGGGACAGGTTCAGGGCCAGCCCTAGGACACCTTCCTTGACTGTGTGTGCCCGGGCTCCCTGTGCCCATCTGCAGGGCCACCGCGGCAGGCTCAAGGAGGGCCGGGGCAGGGCTCCTCCAGCCTTCCCTTCTCGCAACGCAGCCTCAGTGCTGGGGGCCCAGCCTCAAGTCCTGGTCTCCGTTTCCCTCTCTGTGCCCCAGACCTCTCGTGGGCCAGCACACATCGAATTGGTGGCCCTTAGCCGGTATCGGTTACCCCTTGGGGTGTTGGGGCTGCTGGCACTCCAGGAGTCAGGGCAGTGGATGGCGTTTCTCTCGATGACAGTGGGCTGCCCTTTTAGGTTAGAGCTGGGGTCATGAGTGTCCTCTTCGGGGGGACGGCAGGGCCCTGAGCCAGCTCCTGGCTGACCCAGAGCCTCCAGGTCCCCGGCCAGGGCTGTTTCTACAGCTCCAGTCTTTGATGGGTCATGTTGTGCTTGTACTTGGACAGGGACACCCTGTGAGGTCAAGATTGGAGTGACAATGATGTCACACATTCCTTCAACATTAGCCTCCCCGGGCCACTGATGCTTCAGTTCCCACCTCCTGACCAGCTCTGCGTTCAGCCTCCAGCCTGTGGGGACACCCATGTGGTCCTGGGGGCTGCAGGGGAGGCCAGCGGCGGCTCCCAGGAAGCCAGGCAGAGGAGGCTGGGCCATGCTGGGTCCTCCTTCCGTCCTCGACACTCCCACACTTGCCAGATGCGTCAGCTGCCGAGAGGTGTGCTCACCTGCCCACGCAGGGCCACTGCAGGACCCAGGCAGGCCAGGAATGGTGATGTCCATGTCGGGAAATGACAGAGGGGCTTGGCCGGCCACACCCTTGCTGAGTCTTCCCCAGGCCCTAAATGTAGAGGACCAGACAGACAGGGTGACCTCCACCTGCCGGCCAGGGTGAAAGGCCTTTCCGCCAGGGCAGGCTGTGTCTGGGAACCTGGCTGCCATCCCCGCTGGACGAGGAGGGCCAAGGTCGGTGGTCGCCCCAACACTGCCTTGTGCCCGGTGTGCACAGCTGTGTCCTGCTGGGCAGTCCCCAGAACTGTGCTCCAGGCCCGAATCCCATTCCCGGGAACCCAGCACAGTGGCAGGCCTAGGTCCTGACTGGGACATCGCCGGGGGCCACATCTGTGAACCACTTAGGAGACCTTCAACAAAGGTCTCTGAGAGCCCGAGACCCCCCCTGGCTGCCATGTGTCTGGGGGACCCATTGGGGTTGTGGAGCAGGGAGAAAAGAGACCACAGCAGTGTCCTATAAACCGGAGACGGCCACTCTCGGGCCAGGGAGTGGTGCTCAGGGACCTGTGGCAACAGCGCCAGCTGGCTCCACCCGGTCCTCTTCTCCCATGCGGGAACGCAGACCCATGCGGTCAGGTCATCCGAAGTTACAAGAGGAGCGGAAATACGGATTTTTACATGAAATCACCTGACCTTTATACTGTTGACTAAAAAATTTAAAAACATTTTGCAGGCCAAAGAAAACATGTGGGTTAGATCTGGCCTGGTTCTCGTCTCCAGCTGTCAGTCAGCCTTTTAGTCTCTTCGAGGAACATGTGGAAGATGTTGGAGGCTCATTCCGGGGGCTCTCGTGGCCCCCCACGAAGGGCAGATGCACTGTGGGGGCTGGTAGCAGGCTGAGCAAGGACGGGAAAGACACCAGTTCACGATAACCCCGCTTTCTGGTGAGGGGGGCTGTGCTCTCTGAGACCCCTGCCCCAGAGCTTCCCGAAGAGCCGAAGTGCAGGCTTGACATTTGCCTGAAGCTGCACACTCCCCCGGGCTCACCCTCCCAGTCCCAGCCCCAGACCCCTCTGACAGCCCTGTCTGGACCTCAGGACTCAGTTTCCCAGCTGCCCACTGGGAAAGGTCTAAGTATGCCTCTGCTCTCAGGATAGCATGAGGGACCGCTGGGCACACAGCCAGGAACATGGCAAATGCCAAAGCTGCCCCGGGTCACTGCCTCTCCAGGGTCTGATGCTGGTGACCCTACCTCAATGGCTGCTGGGAGCCTCGGGCATCAGAAGGTCTCAAACCAAGCCCTTTCCTTTTATCTTTTATTATGGGAACCCTAAACAGACACAGAAGTAGAGAAAATGGCGTAAAGACCTCTCCCAGATGCTGGGATTGTAGGTATGCACCAGCACGCCTGGCTTATTTTTTATTTTGACACAGGGTCTTGCTAAATTGAGCTCAAATTTGTGATTCTCCTGCCTCAACCTCAGAATGCTGGGATTACAGGCATGTGCCACCATCCCTGGCTTATTTTTCTTTAACAGCTGCTTTCTTCAAATCATGATCTAAAAAGTTGCATTTCGTTGATGTTTATCTACTGGTTCCCTTTCATTTCTTCCCCTGAGGTGTATTAGTTGAAGAAACCAGGTGGTTTGTCCTGTAGGGGTCCCTCCAGCCTGAACTCTGTGGGGTGCATGGTGGAGTGTGTCCAGTGTGTCCCTCTGTCCTCCGTGAGTCCCCCAAATGGTGGCCACATGTGGAGGCCTGGGGGTTTGGATTTTGGTGAACATACACTGTAGGTGGCCCTGTGTTCTTCGGGTGACACTTGCTGTCCTCAGCCTTGCTTCTGGGATGGCCCTGCAGGGCTGGGCCCCCACTGAGCACCAGCCTGGGCCAGGCCTCCCTGTACTGTCTCTGCAGTTACCCCCTTTATGGAGGAGACAACTGAGCCATAAAGGTGGGGTCCCTGGGGAGGGGGTCACAGCAAAAAAGGGGGGTGGACTGGGCTTTCCTAGAAACTGATATATGTGTGTATGCCACTGCGTGTGTGTGCAGACCTGTCCGTGTGTGTGTGTGTGTGTGTGTGTGTGTGTGTGTGCAGGGAGAGCCATATGCCAACCTGCCAGGAGGGGAGCCGCAAAGACAGGTAAGCATGGCAAGAGGGGAATTTTGTAAAAACAGGCAGGCAACACCTGGATGAGATAATGCACACCTGCAATCCCAGCACTCGGAGGCCGAGGCAGAAGGATCACAAGTTTGTTCCACGTGGGCAACTTACTGAGACCTGTTCAAAAATAAAAAATGAAATGGTCTCAAGATCTAGCTCAGCGAGAAGGGGGGGCGGGGGAGAACACCTAGAAGACGGAGCGGTTAGGAACATGGCAGGGACCCCCAGCCCAAGTCTGTGACATCAGATGGTGGAGCAGGGGGCAGGCAGACTGGCACGCGGAGGGTTGCTATGTGGTTAACGCCACTCCTCCGTGCTCCTAGGGCCACCCCAACCTAGACCTTCCAGGCTGGAGGGAGACTCCTGGGAGCCTCTGGACAGACAGCTGTGGCTTGGGCAGGAGTACCCCGGACGGACGGGAGATAGAGGAGGGGAGGGAGGTAAAGCCAGCTAGGTAGGTGCTGGATTCTGGACGGGGGGGGGGGGGGGGCGCAGCCTCAAGGGAGCTCCACCCTAAGCCAAATCGGCCCACTTTAAAACAAACAGACCGGCATTTATGACACGGCCTGATTACAGAAATATTTTAGAAGCATGCCCTGCAGGGCTTGTGTGGCTTCGACCAGCTCCAGGCTGCCCCGCCCCCTGCGGCCTGGACCTGCTTCTGGGGCGGCTGAGAAGGCAAGGGCCGCAGGGTCCCTCCCAGGGCAGGCAGGGCAGTGCACGCCCATCCCACCTCGTCTGCACCGAGGCCAGGGTCACTCTCCCAGGGCGCTGGACGGGCGCAGATGCCAGCCTGGATCTTTTTCGGTGCCCCAGTGCCATCCTCCCAGCCGTTCTGGGGGCCTTTTCTTTACCCGCGTTTTTCCAGGTGTTCCGCGAGGTTAAGCAATTTGGGGAAGGCTGCAGAGGCAGGGAGGGGCTTAACTGGAACTCGGGGCAGGCGGGTCTCCCTTCAGCACGGTCGCACCTCACACCCACGCAGCACACACAGGCACACACACTGCACGGCGCGCGGTAGCCAGGGGCTCGAGGACTAGGGAACTCCGACGCACTCAGGCCCCGCCTCCCGCCGGCCCCGCCCCCGGGCTGACCTCACAGGCCGCGGCGGGGCAGAGCGCAGGCAGCGCAGCGCCGCGGCCGCCCCGGGTCCCGCGGCCCCCGGCCGGCGCGGCGCGGTGCGGCGCGAAGCCGAGCCGTCCATGGTGCAGCGCATGTGGGCCGAAGCGGCCGGGCCTTCGGGCACCGCCGAGCCGCTGTTCCCGGGCTCCCGGCGGAGCCGCAGCGTGTGGGACGCTGTGCGACTGGAGGTGGGAGTCCCAGCCCGGGGCCCCGTGGTGCTACACAGCTTCACGCAGCTCGACCCCGACCTGCCTCGTCTGGAGGTGGGTGAGCCAGGGGGGCGGGGGCGGGGATTCTTGCTGCAGAAACCCTCGGGCCTCATCCCGGGTAGCGAGGGCGGGCGGCGGCGCGGCTGCCGGGACCCCCGGAGCCCAGGCCCGCCCGCGATGCGTGCCAGACTCGGGTGTGGTGGCCCCCGGCCCCTGCAGCGCCGGGAGACTTCTCCTCGCGGCTCTGTCACTGTTTACGCCTGTGGCCTGTGAGCTGCCACCCGCAGGGCCTTCTTTCACTCCGTGGTCAGCCGGGGCCTGTGCCAACAGTGCCAGGCTCCCCAATGCAGGTGTCCAGTGGCGGGGGTGCCACGAATCTAGATCCCCAGAGGTGATGGGGGCCACCGGGGCCTCCTGGGAGAGAGGGATCCGGTGACCCCCGGGAGACGCCAGGGCAGTGAGTGGAGGGGGTCTCCAGTCCCAACAGGTGGCCAGGCAGTGGGGACAGGGCCTTGCAGGCCAGGGCATGAGTCATTTTTGCCTGATTAGAAAATATGCTGAATCCCCGAATTTGAAAGGACCTGAGAGGATTCAGAGAGGGGGTCGCCTGCCTGTTGTGGCTTGAGGTAGGGAGAGCAAGGTGGCGGCCTGGACCCCTCTCCAGCATCTTCTGTGCAGGGCCCAGTGGGCCACAGGTGCCATCTGCCTCCGTCTGATTATGCACCCGATGGTGTGGCGGAGGGGTGGGAGACAGGGCCTGGACAGCGTGTTTCTCTGCCGGGGAAGCCCCAGGCCCAGGGCACCTCCAGAGCTGGGCAGGTGTCCAGGCCGGCACCCCAGGCATCAGCCAGACCCCTGGGAGTGTGGGGGTGGGGGCTGACTCCAGCCGTCTGCAGCGTCTCAGGCTTTGTGTGCCAGGAGGGTCTGGCTTGAGCATTCACTGAGCCCCGCAGGTTCCAGGTGGTTCCAGGCCGGGCTTTGGGCTGCTTCTCTCTATCTCTGCCCCTCTGCATCCCTGAGGAGCCGAGGGAGAGGCCCAGCCGAGCTCCATCCCTGCCCTGGTAGCCATCCTCAGTCCGCTAAGGCTCCCTCTCTCCTCAGGCCTCACTGCTAGATGCAGCCCATGGCTGCTGTTTAGAAAACAGGGGAAGCTTCTGGCTAGGGCAGGAAAACTAGGGTCCTGGCCAGAGAGGAGGCCACTGCCGGAAACCAAACACAATGACCATTTAGCGTGGGCCTGGGGGAGGGGTGGGGAAGTCCCTGTCCCTCCTGCCAAGCCCCTCATCCTGGGGCTGACTTCCTGGTGGCTGAAGCAGGCCAAAGCCAAAGTGGCCCTGCTTGGTCCCTGTCCTCTGGAAACCACCAGGCAGTCTGCTCCTTCCTCCATCCCTGTTCCTACCAGGCCTCCACCCAGTCCTTCCCTCTTGGCAGGGCCAGATATCCTTACACATCTGCCTGTCATCTTGATCCTAAGCCAAGCCACTACTGACCCAGCCTGACCTGCAGCATTCTGTGCTTCCTGGAGGTCCCCTGGTCAGTATTCCTGCCTTGGGACAGGCCATGGCCTAGCCAGCCAAGAGGAGTTCACAGGTCTGCAGCTCCTGCCAACTCTACCCCATTCTACCTGGCATAGGCCAGCCTGCAGCACAGTGCCAACCTCACCTTCTAGGAGACAGGCAGAGGTGAAGCCCCTGACCTACACAGACATGCATGCCAAGAAGGTTCACAGCCAGGACTTGGACATGTGCTGGTTTCCCCATGGGTGCCTACTGTGGACCGGAGCCAGCAGGTATCAGAGCAGGACAGGGCAGAGCTGTGGGGGAGGGAGCCCAGAAGCCCTGGTCAGGGGAGAGGGGTCAGGGGAGGCTTAGCTCTCATCCAGGGGCAGGTGAAAGTGCTTCAGCCTGAAGGACGCAGCAGCCAGGTCTGACAAGCCCCAGTGAGCTGGTGCTCTGTGGGAGGGAGCCCTGTGTTGAGTGATTTGCATGCATTTTGTCATTTGGGGTCAGGACTATTAATAGCACATTTGGCAGATGAAACTACTAATGAGATTGCACCAGGTCAGTGCTGGTCAGTGCAGAGGTGGATCTTGACCGGAAAAGCCTTCCTGCAAGGCCTGCATGTGGTGAGGGAAGGCCAGAGCGCAGTCTTCTCTGTGTTTAAGGGGCACTTCGGATCACACTGTGTGCAGCTCTCCAGCTTAGCCCCGGGGCGCTCTACGAGGTATTATCAGGAGGCTGGGAGGCACTACCCTCAGGGGTGCACGTGCACACTTGGTGCTGTAATCCTCCAGGAAAGTTTCCTGGCTCACTCCAAGGTGGGGGAGGGGGGGTGTCAAGCTCAGGAGGGGACTCACCATGGGTCCCAGAAGCTTACTTTACTTCTGAGGTACAAGAAGAGAAAGGAGGGGCCCAGCTTGGCTCTACTGGGTCCTCTTTCCTTCTCCAGGTTCAAGACACTCTGGCCTGCTGACTTGTGTTCCGGGAAGCTCAGGGCTGGCCCTGGAAAAGGAGTAGGTGGTGGGGGACAGCTCCAGGAGATGTCAGGCTGTGCGGGCAGGGCTGGGGTCTGATCCTCAGTTGGGAAGTGTTAAAAGTTCCCAAGCATGCGGTCTCGGCATCGCTAGTGAGAAGGACCTCATGGACTTAGTACCAGCTTTCTAAGCAGCCTCACTCTGAGTGCAGGGGTGGTTCCAGGAGGCTGCGCCCAGGCCTTGGAGGACTGGCCCCCGGGGCATGGCTGGCTGGCTGCCTAGGTGGGTACCGCAGCATGACACCGCCATGCTGTGGCCACGCTGTCCCAAAGTTGGGCCCCCAGCCCTGCAGTCCCAGAAACACTGCATTCCTGAACTTGTACCTCCTTGATCCCACTTAGAGAGTGGAGTCAAAACCTGCAGATCGGTGCAGGAGGAGCTGAACGTTGGGCAGACCCAACTCTCCCAGAGAGGGAGCAGATGACAGCCAAGCACTGCCCTGAGAGCAGGGCAGGAAGACTAGGAATGGGGCCTGCATTTCACCAGCCCTGGTGCAACCTTGGGAGTTTCCTCTTGCTTTGATGCCTTTGCAGCCATCCCTAGAGGCATGTGGTCCTTTCCAACACAGAGGTGAAAAGCTGGGTTCCTGAGGGCAGAGAGGGGTGCTAGAACATCGCCTGGTCCCTTTAAGCCCTGCTGCTCTCTGAGCATCGGTTTCCTCATCTGTAAAATGGACATGATGCCCATTCATCCGCTTAGGGCTCTGGTATGGACCGAGTGAGAGAGGCGGCCCGACAAGCAGTCCACAGCGCCTGGCACAATAGCAGAGCTAGACAGGTGGCAGCAGCCACAATTAGGTTTTCTGACCAAGTGCCAAGGGGAGTGCCCGTGCCCTGGATTCCAGGGTACGCTGCCCACCCCTGACCACTTCCCAGGCCTGGCCTCACAGCCGACTTCGGCATCACAAACCTCCCTCCACTCAGATGCAGGTGTGAGGCACTGGCCCGGCCCCCCTGCCACTTGCCGTGTGACCTGAGGAAGCCCTTCCTCTCTCTGGCCCTCCTCCACCTCTGAGTCACAGGGCCGGACCCTGCTCTGAGGTGGTGACCGTGATAGAAGCAGCAGCCAGGCCTGGTGGGTCCCCACAGGCCCGGGTTCCAATCCTTCTCCTGGCTGTCATTTCCTGCCTCCTGACCTGGACATGCCTATGCCCTGCTGTTTTGCATCCATCAGCTGGGGTGTCGAAAGGATTAAATGCAATGAGTGTGTGAAGGGCCTGGCACCAGGAAGTACCCGCACGTGCTGGACACTGCGGTCCGTGATGTTGGTCTTCAGCCATGGAACTAGCCTCCCTCCTCGGCCACCACCAGCCACAGCCCCCAGGCTGGCCCTGTGGTGGCCTGCCAGCCTGACAGGAGCCAGTGTGCATGGGCAGGATAGGTTGGACAAGGCCGGGCCTGCCAGGCTGGAGCACCGGGACTCCCCACCCCCATTCGAAGCATGTTTTTCCTCCTCCTCAAATGCTAATGTGGCCCTCAGCAGGGCACAGGCTGGCAGGGAGGGCTCCTGGGGACTCCTGGTCAGCCAGCACAGGCTGGTCCCCAGACTTTGCTTTTGGGGTCAGGACACTCCCTCGTTGCCATGGCAGCCAGGCACCTTGTATAATCTCCAGCAGAGGCTGCCACTGGCTGCAGTGCCTGGGGGATCAGGAGTGTGGCCCTCCTCCCACCCAGGGCTGACCCTGAGTCCATGCTGGGATCCTGGCAGTGCCCTAGGGCTCAGGGTTCGGGACAGCTACCCAGAGTTGGAGGGCCGAACCAAAGGCAAAGGGTTGTGATGCTTGGCGCGTCCATTCTCCTTCCCTTGAGGAGGCTCATAGTGTAGCGCTGAGCCAGGACCTGGATACTTGCTCTCGGCCCCCAACCCAGGCCCCAGTGTCCACCTCTGTAAAAGGGCTGGCGCTCAGCCACCTTGGACCCAAAGGCCCGGCATTCTCTGACCATTGCGTTCCGATCGAGGGCTGAAAAGTCAGGGAGCTGCAGGGTTGTGGGCAGCTGCCTTCTGGGAGGGGCTCACGTGCCCAGAGCTTGCCAGCGAGGGCCCCACAGTGGCCTCTGGTGACTCCTGGCCCTGAATGCCAGCCCAGGAGGGTGGTAGGGTCCTCAAAGGTTTAGAGCCTCCCTCCCTGCCCAAGTGGGGCTGAGGAGTCAGGGAGGCAGAGTCGCAACCCTCTCCCTCTGCCTCAGCCACAGCACAGCTGGAGGCATCAGGGATCCAGAGCCCTGGCCGTAGCTTCCACAGGAAATGTGATTCGCAGCAGGGAGCTGGACCACAGTGGAGGCCAGGGTGGGCGAAGGTGCCGCTCCAACATGTGCTGGCCTGAGTGCCTTCGGGGGAGACTGCAGAACCAGGGTGTGCCCCCCTGCCACCCATTACTCTGCCTTAGGGGAACCTGGGCATGGCCCGCGCTCCCTTTGTCCACAGCAGGGGACACAGCATCCTGCTGGCCTGATCCTGAGTGCACTGATCAGGTGACGCTGCCCACCCAGGCCCCATCTCTTCTCCCTGTCCTAGGGGCTCTGGGCTGTGCCCCAGGGACAGTGAGGACTGCGGATCCCTGCTCTCCAGGGCCCCAGGGACACAGCCACCTTCTATCTGCTGAGCCAAGTGTGTTCAGAGGCACAGCTAGCTGTCCGTGGGTCCCAGGACCCTGGGGACACCATGTGCTCAGACATGGGAAGGGTAGGGTCCTCCCCCAGGACCCAGCCAGCTATGAGGCTTTCCTTCCTCTTAAGAGCCCAGAGTGGCTGCCTGGACGCCTGCCCTCAGGGAAGGCATTTTCTCTGCATCAGCTGTTTACTGGGCCACCCTGCTCCTCCCCCTCAGAGTCCGGCCTGTGGACTGTCCCAGGGGCCTGGCCTCCCGCGTGGGCTGTCTGCTCCTGGGCAGCTCGCTCTTCACCAAAGGCGGCCCAGGGTACCCTGAAGGTTCATGATCCCTGTGTCTCCTGCCCCAGAGTGTCCAGGACTGTTGGCAGTTTTCCTTCTCTGTCCCTCAGAGCAGGGGCGGAGCCTTCTGCCCAGGACCACAGCAGCTCTGTGGTCTCGGGGTGACAGGTATCAGGATGCTTGTGTCCAGCATTCCTCTGGCAGCCTGATCCATCAAGCTGAGGGAACCAGAGGGCGGAGCTCAGTCCACAGGGGCCGGGGCAGCAACTCCCCTGTGGCAGGCATCCGGGGCTCTTGGTGCCCACCTGCACCCTCCATGCACACCGGGCTGCAGAAGGGGCCCCTTGGGGGCTCACATGACACCCGAGCAGAGCCCTGGCCCGGCTCCTCCTGTGGTGGCCTGGCCAGTGCTGATGGAGCCCTGCTGGGAGCTGGCACCGTGCTGGGCTTCTGAGGGGTTAAGGTCCAGGGTCCTGCAGCAGAGCGTCCTGCGTGAGACCCCAGCGCTGCTTCAGGGACTGAGTGCTCACATGCCAAGGCCCGGGTGGGCCAGATGTGGCTGGAACCCCTGGGAAAGAAAGGCTCTTCCAGCCAAGCCTGACCTTGTGAGGGCCTCAGGGGGGACAGGATGGTAAGGGCCTGGTCCCCTGGCCTCTGGTCTCCCCCGAGGCAGTTTGCCAGTGGAGACAGCAGTGTGTCTGTGTAGTATTCCTGAGTCCGGAGGGAAGTTCCTTCTCCGCTGGGGAAGGGTGACCTCCCTGAGGTGGCCTGCCTTAGTGGGTGTGCCTACGGGTTCTCCGCTAACTTCCAAGAAACAGGGCTGGTGCTCTCTCCAAAGGCAGAGGTTGGGAGCCCAGTGTGATATCCACGGCTTTGTGGCTGGTGCAGAGCCCAGAGCCAGAGGGCAGCCGCAGGTCACAGGAAGTAGACTCCCCGAAGATGTCTCCCAGGCCTCCCAGAGCCCTCTGGGTGGGCAGGAGGCGGGGCCCAGGCTAAGCCAGCACCTCCGCCTGGGTCTTCTGACTCCACACTGTCAGGTTGGGGAGGGGACCCACGCCCCAGCACTGGCAGGGCTGTTACAGCTGGGACGGAGAGAGCTGCGAAGCCCGGGGTGGCCATGGCGACGCAGCCCCTGGGTCAGCCTGTACAGTGAGGGAGCCTCCATCTCCTAAAACAAGGCCCTTTCCTTCCTGTCCTGGGGCCTCAGGAGCAACCAGGTGACCTCTTCCTGTCCCGGGCAGGGCCCAAGGGGGCTCTGTGGAACCCCAGCACTGCCACCATCCACATCCGCCTCTCACGTGGGGAGGAACAGTGCGCCGGGAACCCCTCTGTTGCCTAAGCAGGCGCAGGGGCACGAATGAGCAGAAGGGAAGGAAGTGGCCTCGGATGTGGCGGTCCGGGGTGACCTGCACGTGCCCCAGCCTTGTGATGCTGACTCCAGGCCTGCCCGGGCCGGCCGGGGGCCCGGGCTGGACAGAGGGGGTGAGGGTGAGGAGGTGGCAGATGGGAAGCCGGGGCCGTGCTGGGCGGCCACCCTCTGTCCTGAGGCTCTCGTTCACCCCGCTGGAGGTCTGTGCAGCTGCCTGCCCTGGGGAACAGACAGCCCCTGACACCCTGGCCCGGCTGCCGGCCGCTGTCTTTGCAGAGCTCCACACAGGAGATCGGCGAGGAGCTGATCAACGGGGTCATCTACTCCATCTCCCTGCGCAAGGTGCAGCTGCAGCACGGAGCCAGCAAGGGCCAGCGCTGGCTTGGGGTGAGTGCGGCCCAGGGCTGGCCTGCTTGAGGGCCCCACCCCCCATCCGAGAGGACTCTGGGCCTAGGGTGCCACCCACAGCTGGCCAGGAGTGAAGGCCATGCTGACCTGCCGCCTGTGTACAAGGGAGGACACTGTGTCCCCTTAGGTCACAGCTGTTTCGGGTGCACTACACGTTTCCCGGGTTCATTTCCATTTCCGGGTGCCCCATGCAGCCGTTGACTGATGGTCCTGCCACCCTGTCTTCCAGCCTTACCCACGGTCATGTTTAGTCGGACTGTTCTTCATCTCCAGCTCCGTGATATTCTAGAAGGGAGGCCGGATGGCACGGCTGTTGGGCCCCTCCTGCTGTTAGGCACAGTCCTATCTGTGACCATTTCAGCTGTGCCACAGAAACCTTTGGTGTGTCCTAATGGGCAGTCCCTCCACCAGGATAAGCCTCTGTTTTCTCATCTCTGGAATGGGGTGTTTTGTTGGGAATCCCTCGGATAGTGCTGTTAGTTGTCCGAGATACTGTCAGAGACCTTCTCTTTACAACTTTGGGGAATGAACCAGGATCTGGCACATGCTAGGCAAGCACCGTACCACTGAGCTATTCTCTCATCCCTTGTTAGTTTAATTTGAGACAGGTCTTGCCACATTGCCCAGGCTGACCTTGAACTCGTGATCCTCCTGCCTCAGCCTCCCAAGTAGTTGGGGCTACATGCGTGTCCCTGCGAGAGACCCTTCTTCTTCTGGAGATACCTAGTGTCCCAACTCTGCCCCCAAGCCCCTGAGGGCTTGGGGGTACAGTCTGAGCTGCAGCTCCACTCTCCTGGAGCTGGGCGGTGCTGACCCTGACTGTCTCCCCTGCACCCCCACTGTCGCCACCCGCAGTGTGAGAATGAGTCGGCCCTGAACCTCTATGAAACCTGTAAGGTGCGGACTGTGAAGGCAGGCACGCTGGAGAAGCTGGTGGAGCACCTGGTGCCCGCCTTCCAGGGCAGCGACCTCTCCTACGTCACCATCTTCTTGTGCACCTACAGAGCCTTCACCACCACCCAGCAGGTGCTGGACCTGCTCTTCAAAAGGTGCTCACCCACCTCTAAGCCCAGGGGGTGGGACTCGCCACTTCCTGGCCAGCCTGGGAATGCCTCGCACGACTCTGAGCCCCAGTTTGCTCTGTGGAAACTGGAATGCTCAGAGGACACCCCCTTCAGACGGTATCGTGGGGACCAAGCAGAAAGAGCCTGGAAGTGCTTGGGCCTCACTTACCTGAGGCCTCGGGAAAGGCAGTTTCCTTCCCCATCTGAGAAGGGGTCCCAGATGGCATCTGGGGCGTCTCTCTCTGGTTCTAGCCATTGCCAGAACCCTGGGGGTGGACGGTGGAGGTGTCTGGGCCCTGCTGCCCTGCTGAGATACCTGGGAAGGAGCTGGTTGTGCAGTAGGAAGCACCAGCTGTACAGACGTGCTTCCAGGCAGCATATAATACAGTGAAGAGGCCAGGGAGACCCCTGCTGTCCTGGGCCCCTTTCCGAGGGTGTCACCCAGTAACACTAGACATCATAAGCAGGTATGGTAGATGTGACGTCCTCACGGCCTCCTCTAGATATGGCTGCATCCTCCCCTACTCCAGCGAGGACGGCGGGCCTCAGGACCAACTCAAAAAGTGAGTGGGCTTTGGCTTCAGGGGGAGGCCTCCTGTCTCTGGCAGAGGGACCTGTGGCTCCCTCGGAGGCCGAGGTCTGGGGCTTTGCCTGCAGGAGGAGGAGAAGAGTGATGGGTGGGGTTCAGGCACGGGGAGCAGAAGGGAGGCTTTGGCTCCAAGCTGGGCCCTGCGAGAGTCTGTCACAGCCAGGCGCGCACACTGCGGGGAGCAACCTGCTCAGCTGGGTGCCAGGGGCTTGGTGACTGCAGGGCAGTTTCACCCTTCAGAAGTGTCCCTGAGAAGACCAGGCCCACGGGTCTCCCAGGGAACAAAGCCCTGCGGCTTGCAGGTCCCCAGGAACTGGCCCGGGGTGGGGGGGCCCTAGCCAGCCCGGTGACCCCAGGCTCCCTGCCTGGATGGGGAGCACAGGAGCCCAGCCCCCCGGGAGGGGAGGCCTGGGCCCTGACTGCTGCCTGCCTTCCCGCCCTCAGTGCCATCTCCTCCATCCTGGGCACCTGGCTGGACCAGTATTCAGAGGACTTCTGCCAGCCTCCAGACTTCCCCTGCCTCAAGCAGCTGGTGGCTTATGTGCAGCTCAACATGCCTGGCTCAGACCTGCAGCGCCGTGCGCATCTTCTGCTGGCTCAGCTGGAGAACTTGGAGCCCAGCGAGGCCGCACCTGAGGGTGAGGAGGCTTGGGGTGTGGACCCAGAGGACAGGAGGAGGGGTCTGCGTTGGGCCCGCTGGGCGGGGCTCCTGGCTGGCACTGGGCTGGGCACGAGGGGCCGGGGCTGCAGTATGGACCGAGAGGTCCTGTGGCGGGGTTGGGCTCAGGGCAAGGCTGTCATGTGGAGCACCTTCCCTCCCGCAGCTCTGGCACCAGCTCCAGTGCTAGCCCTGAAACCAGCCGTGGAGCTGGAGCCGGCTCCAGTCCCAGTTCTGACGTCCACTCCAATAGCAGCACCAGTATCGGGTCCACAGCTGGAGCCAGCATTGGCTTCTGAGCTCGAGGCAGCTCCTGCACCTGCTCTGGAGCGAGAGCCCACGCCGGAGCCGGAGCCAGAGCCGGAGTCGGAGCCGGAACCAGAGCCGGAGCTGGAGCTGGAGCCTGCTCTGTCACGAACTCCAGAGCTGCAGCGGGCCCTGGGCCCCAGGCTGCCCACCGAGCCACCCTGGCTTCCACCCGTGACCTCAGAGAACGGACTGGCCCAGGAGCAGCCTCACATCCTGACGTTCCCTCCTGACCTGGTGGCGGAGCAGTTCACGCTGATGGATTCGGTGAGCAGCCGGGCCCCTCAGGACGGCACTTCTTCCTTCAGGCACCTGACGTCCACACCTGCTGCTCCCTGCCCCAGAGCCTGTGCTCCTGTCCCAGTCCCAGCTCCACCATCATACCCTGTGCAGCCAGGGCAAGTTTCTGAGCCTCGAGGCCTCGACTGCCCCAGGACAGTAGACTCGGGTCTGTCCCTGCCTCCCTCGGGAGTGACCAGGAGGATTCCAGGAGCAGGGCAGACCGGCTGGTGGGAAGAGTGCTCGCCTCAGCATCCAGACCCCCACCGTCCGCCTGGGGCCCTCACCAGCCTCAGCATGTGGTGGGCACCCAACTGCTTGAGTCCACAGTAGACGCCCCGCCCGGCCGTGAGCACAGTGACTGGCACGAGAACATGCACCCTGCCCTGAAGAGGGGGCAGAAGGCGCCCCCTGTCTGTGCACGTGTGAGCTGCGTTCCGCACTTGGACAGACATCGGGCAGGGGAGACGCTGCTCTCCACGCTGCCATCGTTGCCCCAGGTCGCTCCTGTGCAGTGTCCTCAGTGGTTCTCAGTGTGCATGTCCTCAGCACACGCCCAGAGAGCCCACAAGGCCCCAGCCACGTCCTCAGCTTCCGGGGCTTCGGCCCAGCCGCTGGGATGCAGTCCAGGCCCCGGGGACTGTGAGCTGTGGCTGGGCTGGTGACACTGATCCTCTCCCCAGGAGCTGTTCAAGAAGGTGGTGCCCTACCACTGCCTGGGCTCCATCTGGTCCCAGCGGGACAAGAAGGGCAAGGAGCACCTGGCACCCACCATCCGTGCCACCGTTGCCCAGTTCAACAACGTGGCCAACTGTGTCATCACTACCTGCCTGGGGGACCGGAGCATGAAGGCCCCGGACAGGGCCCGGGTGGTGGAGCACTGGATCGAGGTGGCCAGGGTATGCTGCAGAGGGCCCGGGAGCCCCCCTTGCTACTCTCCAGTGTGGTCCGAGGTCGGAGCCCCTGCAGAGACCCCAAGCTCCTCCTCCCCAGGGCCACACTGGCCTTGACACGCGGGTCCCAGTGGGGCTCAGCCCCTGCTGATGCCGGTTCCCTGGGTTGCGCTGGAACCCTGCTCTCTTGCTCTGGGCCCCACTCCTGCCCTTCAGGGGCTCCGCAGGCCGGGGCGGGGCCGGGCAGGACCAGGCGGGACCAGGCGAGCTTCGGCACAGCTCAGAGCCCTCCTCCCCCAGGAGTGCCGCGCCCTGAAGAACTTCTCCTCCCTGTACGCCATCCTCTCTGCTCTGCAGAGCAATGCCATCCACCGCCTGAAGAAGACATGGGAAGACGTCTCCAGGTGGGTCCCCCCACCCCACAGTGGGCCCCAGGCCACGAACCCCAAGGCGGGGCGGCTGGTAGGGACTGGAGCTAGGCCTCCCTGAGCCAGGCAGCAGATCCACCTCAGCACCCAACTTCCCTGTCTGTCTGACACGTCATGAGACCACGCATGGGATTTTCAAGCTTCTAGCAGGAATGGGGCTGGGGTCCCCACTGCACCGCCAGCATGGAGGGTCCCCTCCCAGGCCACAGAGCCTCTTTGCAAACCGCCCAGGCAGGGAGTGTGGAGTCTGCATTGTGAAGGAGCCTGGGTTTGTGCTGCCCTCTCCTGCCCTTCCTGACAGGCACCCTCTCTGTCGTTCCTACAGGGACAGCATCCGGATATTCCAGAAGCTCTCTGAGATTTTCTCTGATGAGAACAATTACTCACTGAGTAGAGAGCTGCTCATCAAGGCAAGAGGGGCCTAAGGGAGGGTGGCATGGGGGGCACTAGTTCCTGCCTAAAGATTCTTCACAAAATTCCAGTCCTGACCTCCCTGGAGGAAAGGAAGGGGGATCTCTTTGGCCCCTGAGCAGATGGGGCAGTTTGGGGTGCTGGGGACCCCCACCCCCTGCATGTAGTGAGAGCAGCCGGTTGTTCCAGGAGGGTGGATTCACAGGTACCTGGCTTCCTGATAGGGCTTAGCAACCTCCAGACTTGCTGGGTGGAGGGAAGGGGGTGCAGCGCCCCCCCCCACCCACTCATGGAGCCCCCACAAAGCCAGGGCCTGTTTCCCCTTCTGCGTGCATTGCGCTTCCCAGGGGAGAGGCTCCTTGGGATGGGAACTTCAGAGGGCCCAGAGGCCAGTGGGCCACCCTTGGGCCCAGACGTCCAGACCCAGGAGCCAGAAGTGGGTGCACCACGGAGCTCTGCCCTCTGCCTGCAGGGGCTACCAGGGGCCTCAGTGCCATGGCCAGTGCCCAGCAGGCTCAGAGGCCTCATGGACAGATGAACTTCCCAGAAGCGTTCACATGACAGGAAGCAAAGTTACCCTGCTCCTGCCCCTGCCCCTGGCATGCTGGGCAGTCAGGTGGCCCAGGGGAGCTCCTGGTCCTGAGTGGACGGGGGCAGAGTCCAGTGCGGGGGAGCATGCCAAGGGGCTCCGAGGAGGTGGGAAGCCTCTGGATCAGCCGAGGGCCCCCTTGGGCACACCTTGTCCCTCCCCCTGAGGCTCTGCTTGACTGGGGATCCTGGCACAGCCCATTCAAAGGCTGCTGAGGCTGAAGGTCTGTCCTCCTTGTCCCTGGGCAAATTGCAACCTTCTCTGGGCCTCAGTTTCCTCAGGTGCCAGATAGAGGAGTGAGCACCCTGGGTGCTGATGTCATACAGGACGTGAGGTCCACGGGGGGCTATGCAGGCCGGGCTGGCCGGGCCGGGGCAGGACAGTGCCCACAGCAGAAATGTGGCCCTGAGGCCTCTGCCTGCCGGGCAGGGGGAGCCTGGTTCCCACTGCAAGGAGCCCAGGCGTCGGCCCAGCTATCCCACCAGAGTGATCCAGAATCTGCGCCCAGGGGGGCTGTAGAAGCCTGGGCATCAGCCCACACAGCCACAAGGAGGGAGGGAGCACAGCCTCCCTGACACGCCCCTGTCGCCCCTGGCAGGAGGGCACCTCCAAGTTTGCCACCCTGGAGATGAACCCCAGGAGAGCTCACAGGCGGCCAAAGGAGGCGGTGAGTGCCCACCCCGGGCCCAGGGAGGGACGGAGGGTGCTGGCAGCAGAGAGGAGGGGCTCCCCCAGCCCTGGGTCCCTGTCGTCCCGCTGCCTGAGCAGCCCCATTAGATGGGGCCATGTGCTGACCAGCTGGCACTGTGGGGGTCGAGACGCAGCCACCAGAGCCAGGGCCTGGCACACCCCTTGGGGGAGGGGTGCGGGCCAGGGCCACCTCACTGTGGGGAGTCTGCCGAATGCAGATTCCCTGGGAGGTCACCAGAGGCAGTGAGGGGGTCCCGGAGTCTAGGAGGGGAGCCCAGGACGGGTGGCTGAGCTCCCCGGGCAGCAGAGCGGGAGGCCAGAGTGCGAAGCCTGGGCTGCAGGGTCCCTGGGCCTCACTTTCCACCTCTGCGGGGTCCTGCAGGGCGTCATCCAGGGCACTGTCCCCTACCTGGGCACTTTCCTCACCGACCTGGTGATGCTGGACACCGCCATGAAAGACTATCTCTATGTGAGTGAGCCGGGTCCGGGCCGCGGGGGGAGGCCCGGGAGGAGAGGGCCTCTGGCTGGCCCTGGGCCTTCCGCACTGGTGGGAGCCTTGTGGCTGGCCCCGTGCACCGGGCACCACGCCGTCCTACCCCAGGGACCCCAGAGCTCCCTGACCTTAGAGCTGCAGCAGGGTTTGGCCAAGCTGGGCACCGTTGGCCTCAAGGGGTGGCTGGGCCTGGACGGTGGGGCTGGACCCTCCAAGGCCAGGAGGCTCTGGGTGGCCAACCGAGGCCATCCCACCTGTCCTCAGAGAGCGCAGGCAGGGCAAACAGGCTGGAGAGCCTCTGCCCCCGGGTCCCCTTGTCCTGGCATCCACAGCCTATCCTAGTCTCCATCTGGGTGCACCCTGCCCCCTGGTGGGCGCTCCTGGTGGTGCGGCCTGAGGCGGGAGGCCCCCATGGTGGAGGGGCAGCTTTTCTCACAGACTGCTGTCTGCCTCCTAGGGGAGACTGATCAACTTCGAGAAGCGGAGGAAGGTGAGCGGCTGCTGCCATCACAGGAGGGGCTCTGCCTGGGAGGACACCTGGCTCCATGCCCCCCCGCTGATTTATGGGGAGGTTTGGTTGATGGGGACCCAGGACAGCTTCCTGGGCTTAGCAGTTTGGAGTTTGGACCAGGCTCATGTCGCATGGGCCCAGAGCACAGACCCAGAGGCTGGCGCCCGCCCGCAGCCCCACCCAGGCTCCTCATGTCCCGCCCTCCCCTCTGCTGCAGGAATTCGAAGTGATCGCGCAGATCAAGCTACTGCAGTCGGCCTGCAACAATTACAGCATCGCGCCCAAGGAGCACTTTGGGGCGTGGTTCCGGGCCCTGGAGCGGCTCGGAGAGGCTGAGAGGTGAGGCAGGGCCTGAACTGGGCACAGGGCGGCTGTCCCGGCTCCAGAGCACCCGCGGCCTGGGCCACCGTCAGGGTCAGGCCTCTTGCCTGGTTTTGGCAGTGGCACCTGGGCTCCAACTGTTGGTTGGGCCCTGGGGGGACACATGTGGCCCCTACCAGCCTCATGCCAGCCCTGCCCGTAGCTACAGCCTATCATGCGAGCTGGAGCCCCCGTCTGAGTCGGCCAGCAACACCCTCAAGTCCAGGAAGAGCACAGCCATTGTGAAGCGCTGGAGCGAGTGAGTGCCTGGCCGGGCAGGCAGGGATCAGAATGCTTCAGGGCTGAGTGCGGGCTCGGGAGCCTCCCAGGCTGACAGTCCTGGCGCCTGGCCTAGCACCCAGCCTGGAGCACAGGAAGCCGTGGGGATAGCGTGGCTCGAGGCCTTGGGGAGGCCCCTCACACCCGCCCGCCCTTCCGTCCAGCCGCCAGGTGCCCAGCACCGAGCTCAGTACCAGCGGCAGCTCCCACTCCAAGTCCTGTGACCAGCTCAGGTGCGGCCCCTACCTCAGCAGCGGGGACATCGCCGATGCGCTCAGTGTGCACTCAGCCGGCTCCTCCAGCTCTGACGTGGAGGAGATCAACATGAGCTTTGTCCCAGAGTCCCCGGACGGCCAGGAAAAGAAGGTGACTGGCCACCCAGCCTCCCCTCCCCTCCTCCCGGTGTCCACACAAGGGCCCAGGAAGCCTGGCTCCTGAACGGGGCTTCCAGAGCCCTCAGAGCCAGCTGCCAGCCCGGGCCCTGCAGGCTCCCAACTTCCGCTGACGTCTCCGTCCCCTACAGTTCTGGGAGTCGGCCTCCCAGTCCTCCCCGGAAACCTCCGGCATCAGCTCGGCCTCCAGCAGCACGTCCTCGTCCTCAGCCTCCACCACGCCCGTGGCCACCACGCGCACCCACAAGCGCTCTGTCTCAGGGGTCTGCAGCTACAGCTCCTCACTGCCGCTCTACAACCAGCAGGTGGGCGACTGCTGCATCATCCGCGTCAGCCTGGACGTGGACAACGGCAACATGTACAAGAGCATCCTGGTGAGCAGGCGGCCACTGACCGCTCAGCTGAGTACCACCCTGCCCTCCTAGAGGGGCCCTGGTCGGGATGGATGGACAGGAAGGAGGGAGACAGGGGTGGCACTTGGGGGGCACATACTGCCCAGCCCCCGGGAGGGCAGGGGCTGGGAGGTCAAGGTCAGCAGGGCAGGAAAGTGTTGAGAGCCCGGGCTGCAGGCTAAGGACCTTGGCTTTCTCACAGAGGGACACCAGGCGTGGGGCGCGGCAGGAAGGGGCACTGTCAGAGTCCGGGCGCACCGGAGCGTGGAGCCAGCGGGATCTGCTCACGGGGTGTGTGAGGGCACCAGGAGAGGACTCGTGTGCTCCTCCAGGTCTCAGCTTCCCATGAGCCATTTGTAACCACACGTGCACCTCCCCGCCTGCCTCCCTGCCAGCAGCTAGCCTGGCCTTCACTGGCACTCACCCACACGACCTTGTGTCTGGGTCCCACTTCCGCTCTGGCCCTCGGGGTCCAGGCACCCAGGGTTCTGGCTTGTGCCACCCACACTCCCGCAGCCTCCGGGGCAGAGGCCTGGCACCAACAGGGCCACTGGACATCCAGCCAGCTCTTCTTCCCCTGAGGTTGGACCAGAGGCCATGTGATCCCAGCCCCAAGGATCCTGTTGTCCCTGAGGGCCAGCAGCTTACCGAAGAGCCCTGGGAGGAGAGAGCAGGCTGTGTGGGGGAGCGGGGCTAGGAACACTGGGCCTGTTGCTCGCGCGGAGCCCACCTTGGGGCCGGGAGCAGGAGCAGGAGCAGGGGCAGGTGGACTACCCCTGGACGCACCGCTGAGAGGCTGTGCTCGGTGCTGAGGTGGCTCCGCAGGGTCCCTCCAGGGCCACTGCACCCTGGGGAGCCACTCCAGGCCCCGTGCCTGATGGCCTGTCCACGCCCAATCCAGGTGACAAGCCAGGATAAGGCTCCCACGGTCATCCGCAAGGCCATGGACAAACACAACCTGGACGAGGATGAGCCGGAGGACTATGAGCTGGTGCAAGTCATCTCAGACGATCGCAGTGAGTCAGGACAAGGGCTGTGGGACAGGCTTAGCAGCACTCCCAGCACTCCCAGCGCATGACTACCAGAGTCCAAGGTCCTCGGCCTCAGAACGCAAGCCAGCGGTGCAGAGCTGGGCACTACTCGCGGTGACCTGCCCTCATCAGCCCCAGGCGCCCCAGGCCGCCTCTGCCCCAGCAGCTCCTGAGCGTGAACTGGCATTGCAAAGCCAAGAGCGGTGGAGGAGAGAGAGAAAGGGCTTGTTGATGCCAGTGCGGGCCGCTGGCTCCTGAAAGGGGTACTTCAGAGTCAGGACGGCCATGGGCCAAGGGTCACCTGTTAAAACCTGAGGCCCAGGGAGGCTAGGGGACAAGAGTTAGAGTCCATCGCGGGCTGAGAACAGGCCTCTGGCCCACGGAGGGGGTGGGAAAGGGCCAAGGAAGGACTTGGGTGCCGGGAAGCCACGGACTGTGGAGGCCGCCTGAGCCCTGGCCTGGGAGAGGGTGAGGCAGAGCCTGCCTGGCTGGAGTCAGACCCAGTGGGGGCGGGGTGTGGCCGGACAGATGAGCCAGAGCTGGGACATTCTGGAGTCTAACTCTTTCTGACAAGAGCCCGAGGTATTTTTTTGATGGTTTTTTTGTTGGGTTTTTTTGTGGGTTTTTTTGGTATCAGGGATCGAACTCAGGACCGTGCACTTGGGAGGCGGGCAGCGGAACCACTGAGCTAAATCCCCGGCCCAAGAGCCCTAGATTTTTTTTTTTATCAGGGGCCTACACAATCTATCCTCAGGTAGGGTATGGGAGGTGTCCTGGCTTGTCTGCAGCTGGATTGGAGGGACCTCCGGTCTGTTGTGGCCCAGGCCTGTCCTGGGTGCGGGTGTCCTGAGGGGCCCCAGTGAGCATCCCTAACCACTTCCTACCCTCTACCACCAGAGCTGAAGATCCCCGAAAACGCCAACGTGTTCTACGCCATGAACTCTACTGCCAACTACGACTTCATCCTGAAGAGGCGGACCTTCTCCAAGGGCACAAAGGTCAAGCATGGAGCCAGCTCCACCCTCCCTCGCATGAAGCAGAAAGGACTCAAGATTGCCAAGGGCATCTTCTAAGGACATCTCTCCAGGCTCTGGCTGGCCGGCGGCTCAGCACTTCCAGCCCAGAGTGAGCCAGGCCAAGCAGGGGCCTTCTGCCCACCTGCCAGCCCAGGCCACCTCCATCTCTGGTTTCTGCCGAACCTCTCCTGCAGCCGGGATTGACACCTGCCATCGACAGGCTGACCTGGCCTCGAGGGGCCACTCGCTGCCTTAGGTGCCTTCTGCTCTCTGGAACCAGAGGCCGAGCTCGCTTTGCCAAGGAGGACTCCCAGCGGGCACGGGGCCCAGGCCTGCCCCGGCCACACCCTCACGCTTCCTGACGCCTTCCGGTGCGGGTCACTGCCGCCCGTGCCCTAGGTACCCAGGGCACCGCTCCGACCACTGCAGTTCTCTCCTGCCCACGGGCACCGGGCTGGGACCTGCTCGGGGTCCGGCCCCTCCTCCCACCACTCTAGCCTTCCTCGGGCTACACCAAAGATTCCATCACCGACCGCGCTCTTCACCCAGTGGCGGGGAAGCCTGTGGGTGTCGCGCCTCAGCCGCTGCGAGGGCCGTTTGCCACTGTGTCCAGGCTGGACGAGACCACTCGAAACAGGCTTGGGAAGAAGGAGGGCTTCGGGAGGGGGAGGCCAAGTGAATATTTGTATAGAAAGAAAAAAAATGTTTACTGATTGGGGCGGGGCAATATTTATTTGTTGTAAATAGAAAATGCTAGACTTGAATATTATATTAAAACCCTGTTTCTACTACAGCCTGGTCAACCTGTTTTGTTCTTTGATTTCCCGCTGTAACGTAAATAACAGAGACTGTCCCATCTCATGCTGAAATACAAAATCTCTCGGGATTCTGTTTCTGTTACCCAGCGGCAGGAAGGGCCGCACCTTTTCCAGCAGCTCACACACGGACAGAAGGAAGGTCATGTTTGTGTCACTAACCTGGGCGCTGCGCCCAGGTGGGCACCCAGAGCTCCCAAGACAACCTCTGGAACTGAGTCTCCAAGGTTCCATTTGCAACGGAAAACAGCAGAATAAGAAGCTCAGTCCTCCACGGAAGCAACCTTGAAGCTGCTGACCGGGGAAGCTGGCAGTCACCTCTCGGGTCCCTGCGACCCGACCAGACACAGCAGCTGGAACACTTGATGAGGGAGACGCTGCCAAAGCTCGACTGTCAAGCAGATCTCAGCCATGGAGTGGGGGATCCAGGGCCTGCACGCAAGGAGCCCAGCCTGCTCACCCATAGTTGGCAGAGGACCTGCCGTACCCGCCACAGGCCTCCACAGGCACCGAAGCAGTTTCTGAGGGGCGACAGTCTGATTCCCACGGGACCGTACTGTAAGACGCAATGTTCAGTTCTCAAACAGTTAGCGTAGGAAGGAAATATGGCTCACTCACAGGGGTGAAAATATAATGAAGGATTTGGCAGAAAGCAACCCCGAGGAAGCCCAGACGTTAGACTTAGTATTCTGTCAGCAGCAGTAAGAAAATCACATATGACATACAGGACAGAAACAAGGAAATGGTACAGGTTAGGCCTTCTCTCTCAGTAATTACTGTAAATACATAAAGGGGTTAAACTCTTCAACTTAAAGGCAAAGGTTTTCAGGATGTGGTACACATCTGAAATCCCAGCACTCTGGGAGGCTGAGGCAGGAGGATTGCAACTTTTAAGTCCAGCCTGGGCAGTTTAGCAAGACCTTGCCTCAAAAAAATTCTGGGAATGTAGCTCAATGGCTTCATGCCTGCTTAGCAAGTGCAAGGTCCTGAGTTTGATCCCCGGTACAAAATATATATATATATATATATATTTAAACAAAAGGTCTGGGGATATAACTCAGCATGAAGGCTCTAGGTTCAATCCCCAATACCAAAAAAGAATTTAAAGAGTTGGATTTAAAAAGAAAAACATGATCTGTGGGATAGTCAAAGAGATTCACTTTGGGTACAAAGATTCACTTTGAATACAGGTACAAAAAATATTACAAAGAAAAAGATTCTATGGAAATAGTATATTTTAATAATGACTTTCATCAGGCAAAGTAGACTACATCAAAAAGGTAGCAAGGGGGGCCGGGGATTTAGCCCAGTGGTTCCATTGCCTGCCTCGCAAGCGCAAGGACCCGAGTTCGATCCCCGGTACCAAAGAAAAAGGTAGCAAGAGACAAGAAAGGCCAGTGTATTTTGGTAGAAGTTTAAATGCTTCAAGAAGACAGAATTGTAAATATGCACACCTAATGATACCCCCATAATACGTGAAGCAAAAATCAACATAGTTGAAATGAATCGTTGGAGACTTCCATACCTCACTTCCAACAATGGACAGGCCAGGTGTGGTAGCACATGCCTACTATGCCAGCACCTGGGAGACAAGCAGGAAGATGGCTACAAGTTCAAGCCGAGCCTGGGCTACATAATGAGTCCAAGCCCACCCTGAACTGCACAGGGAGACCCTGTCTCAACAAAAATAAAAAACCATCCAGTAATGGACAGAAGGTCTATGGGGAAACAGAATGTGAGCAACACTAAACCAATTAGACCCAGGAGATAAATGCAAGAACACTCCAGTCAACACAGAATCCACATCCTTCCCAACTCATGAAACATTCCCCAAGATGGACCATGTGTTAGACCACAAAGATTTAGTTCATTTTGAGATCATATAGGGTATCTTCCCAGCTACACTGGAATGAAACAAGAAATTAACAGCAGAAGGAAGATGAGGATACTCTCAAAGATGGAAATTACACAGTACACTCTGAAACACCTGATGGATAAACAGTCTCAAGGGAAATTAGACACCGTGAGACAGTGGAGACAGGACAACAACATATGGAGAGTTAAGACACTGGAAAGCACTGCTCACAGGGAAATTTATAGCTGTCACTACCTGTGCTTGAAAAGAAAGGTCACACGCCAACAAGCAAACTACACCGTAAGGAACAAAAGAAAAATTCAAACAACAAAACCAGAAGGAAGGAAATAATAGATAGCAGAGACAGAGAATAGAAAAGTAAAGGAGAAAAATCAGTAACCTCCGAAGTTCACTCTTTGAAAAGATCAACGAAACAAAGGTTTAAAAAAGGACTCAAGCTACTAAAATTTGAAATCAAAGTGAAAATATTACTACCAAGTTTGCAGGAAAAAAAAGGTAAGTGAATACTATGCACCTTTGAATTCCAACAACATACAATGATATACAGTATTCAGCCATAAAGGGGAAGAGCACTGATACGTATTACAGGGTGGGCAAATCTTACCAACATTATGTTTCCACCTATGAGAAACATCTCAAGTAGATTTATAGAGACAGGAGAAGGAAAGGATGTTTTGTGTTTAAGGGATAGAATTTCTATATGGGATCATGGAAAAGTTTTAATAGTGGAGATGGTTGCATAACAGTCTGAATGGAATTAGTTGTAAAAAATATAGTTAAATTAGCGTATGTTATTTGCTTTTGGAAAGGGGGGTTGTTCCTTTCTCTATGTTTGTTTGTTTGATAGGCCCCAGGACTTTCCACATGTTAGGCAAGCTCCTTACCACTGAGCTACATCCCCAGCTCTTCTAAAATTCTTTATTTTGAGATAAAGGTCTCTTTAAGTCTTAAGTTGCCACAGCTGGGCTCAAACTTATAGTGCTCCTGCCTCAGCCTCCCAGAGTGCAGGGATTATAGGCACTGCAAGGATGACATGGTGCACCACCATGCCCAGCCTCTAGCCCTTTTTAAAAATTTTATTTTGAAACGAGGTCTGACTGGGTTTCCTAGCTGGCCTCATACTTGCAATTAGCTTGCCTCAGGGTCTCAAGTGGCTGGGATTATAGACATGCATTCATCTATGTTACATGTATTTTATCACAGTTTTTTAAAAATATTTGCAAAGACCATTTCCTGTCCCAGGATAGCAGATGCCTTCCAACACTTTGCAAGAAGAGGAACATTTCACACTGACTAGGGCTCTACCGTTAGGAACTTTAGATCGCAAGTCATGTTCAGGAATTCAGCACTAAGTAAGGAAAACTGCAAAGAGATCAAGCATGCAAGGTGGAGGGGAGAAGGCAGGGGGAGGAGTGATAGCCTGGGACCAGCAGGACTTTGCCCGCTCCACCCCTTGTAGGAGCTGTGGCCTGGCTTTGCCTTAGACAGGAATCCTGCGAGAATCCCTGCTGCCAGCCCCGGGACTGCTTTCCCTGCTGGTTCCTTGTCTGGAAAGACTTGAGATGCAGCCAGTAAGGCTACAGTGGGCCTTTGCATAAGCTCTCCTGGCCCCTGCAGCTGGGCTCCTGCTTCCCTTGATTTCTCATTCCATCGATTTCACCCCAAAGTGTCCCACAGGGCCCCACCACACTACCAGGTCCCCTGAGCCCACTCTGGGGCCTCTGGATGAGGCCAAGTGTGGTGTGGCCAGGAGCAGAGTGCTGATTCCTGCCAGCGAAAGACCCTGCCCTCAACTGCTCTGGACAGGGCTCCTCTCTAGGATGAAGACGGTGCTGGGGACTGACCGCAATGACAGGGTGGCACCTGACCAAACGCCTCTCGCTGTTACGGATGACCTATGGCAGTGGTGGCGAAACTATGGCCTATGTGCGGCAGCACTGCGATGATATCACAAGTTGTATGAGCTCTTTCTTAACTGAACCCTCAGTGTTCAAGTTTAACTGCAGTGTTGGCACTTTGCAATGAATAAGTGGATTTTGGGTTGCAGTTGGGCACTCAGTCTCTAAAAGGTTCGTCATCACTGACTGGAAGGCCATGGGCCTCAGCTTCTGCTATCCTAGTTGTGGGATCTAAGACAAAGGCTAGCTGAAGAGAAATGGGTTTTATTCAGGAAGAGCTCAGGACAGGAGGCAGCTGGGGAACCCAATCTTGTGGCCACTTGAGACCAGACTCATGGACACTAGAAGCCAATGGCTATGGGCATCTGAGGGGCCAGGGAGCCCTCTGTGGGAGGCACAGGGACTTCTGAGGAGTTATCTTCAGGGGGGGCAGGGGCAGCCTCAGAACCATCTGTAGGGGGCAAAGGGACACCTTCAAAGTCATCCACAAGGGGCACAGGGGTGGCCTCAGCCACAGTGGGCAGCGCCTGGTAGGTCAGGGCCCAGAACTGTAGAAACTTGGTCCTCAAGTGTTCCTTCATGGAGCTGCTGTCTAGTGTGCTGGTGATGTTCAGGTAGTTGCCGTTCTCCGTGGTGTAGGGGTACCAGTGAGTGGGTACAGCAGAGTGGCCCATGTTGGGGTCCCTGCAGAGTGAGAACTAGCTGAGTGGAGGCAGAGGGGCCCTAGGAGCCTGGGGACCCCAGCCAGCTCTCTGCACAGACCTTGGGCCTCTGAGCCGAGCTGGCCACAACCCAGCCCTGGCTGAGCACTTTAGGGTCTTTGGGCTCAGTCTGCAGCTCTAACCTCATGTACAGGCAGAGATGCTAATGCCCAGGGAGGTTAAGCAGCCTCCACTGTCTCCCCGTGGGTGAGTGAGGAACAGGCACCTGAACCGAGGCCCAAGGGGCAACGTGGTAGGGTCCTCGAAGCTGCTGCCCTGGGCCCTGGGTTGAAGTCCACGCCTTACCCACTGCGGGCAAAGTTGGTCCAGTAGGCAATCATGGCCTTGGAGACGGTCCTGTCTTGAGTCCGGTACCCCAGTGGGGTGACAAAGGGCTTTCCAAAGACATACTGGATGTCATCTGCATGGTCAGCCCCCACCCATCTAGGGTAGATGGGCATCCGAGAGGGCACGGAGAAGAGATAGGAGTAGGTCCTGGCACTCCTGAGGGGAGGAGACAGCCTGGTTGGGAGTGGCTCACCTGGGCCCCCCTGGGGGGAGGCTGTGGGAAAGGCCTGGGGGATCCCCAAGACTCATGGGGAAACTGGGCTCCTTACATCTGGTGGAGGAAAAGTGGGTGCCCAAACTCCCGGGTTCGACAGTTTTTATTGTGCTTCTATCTCACCCACTCGCAGTGTTTGTCCCACATTCAGCCCATGAGCTGCCAAAGCGAGCCCTGCACAGAGCACTTGGAGGCCCCTTCCTCC